AAAGAATTTGGAAAAAAGTCACGACGGGAGGCTTTTCGCTCCTTTGGGCCTCTGGAAGCCCTCAGACCGCCAAAGAGCGAGGATCCTCAGGACGTGTCTTAGCCCAATGTGTGTTTACCCTGTTCAGCCACACCCGCAGATCATTACATTGCCAGCGTCGTATGGAAGGGCCTCGGTGGATAAACACACGTTGGCGCAAACACACGTTGTGAGGATCATCGAGCAGAACGACTCGAGATGAAAAGCCGGTCCAGGGGAAGGGGTCCAGGCCTTTGGTTGTCGGCGTTGTGATCAAAATCATGACGTCGGGGGTCTGAGGGGTCGGACGGGCCCAGAAACGAGATAAATCGCTCCAGATCGCTCCATCACTCTCTTATAGCGTTCCTGGAACGCTTTGTGAAAGGCAGCGGCGCCCACTCACTCCTCAACGCCCGCCGATTCTCGGAGATTCTCAATGTCTGTTTCAGTCGGGCCTGTTCCTCTACAGAAGGAAGATTCAAGCATAGTCAAAAATTGTCAGGGGACAATTTTTGAAAATGTTTGAGCATTCTTTTTGACATTTTCTCTAATGTTGACTCTACAGGCTTACGCCACATCCGCCGACCCCTTCTGTGAGTGTTGCGAGGCCAGGAGTTTCTGGCCAGCGGCGTCTTGTGTGAGGGTGCGGTGTCGCGCGCGGGTGGTGGCAGATACGTAGGGGGTCCAAATGTTTGCGTGATGCCAGTGGTCTGGGGCGTGTTTTGCGAGCGCTTTGCGTGCTGTGCACCCGGGTGCGGGGTGTCCTTCTGGGAGGTCGGCCTTTCGACCCGCAACCAAGTGGAGGAGCACTGGAAGACGAAAGGAGCAAGAGTAGTGTGTGGAAGCTGTGATCAGCGAAGCATCACAGCGAAAGATGTGGCAGATGAATCGAAACGGGTGAAGAGGCTGTTGACGTTCGCAGCGCGCACGAAACAGTTCGCGCGGCAGCAGCACATTAGCGCCGAGCAAGATAGTGAGCACGTCGCGAGGAAGAGTAAGGTTGTATGCGCGGAGTGCATTGCAGTTGGCGTGACGGCTCGCAATACGGAAGCGTCTGGGGGTCTTTTGGGGGCCTCCTGGGGGCCTCTTGTGGGCTCCTTGGGGCGTCTTGGCGGTTTCTTGAGGGCCGTTGGCGGCCTGTTGGGGCGCTCTTGGGGCCCCCTGGGGCTCGTGGGGGCGGAAAGCTAGATTTTTGAATTGTTGGTTGCCCTCTTGGGCCCCTCTTGGTGCCGTCTTGGAGCCTTCTTGGGCCGTTTTGGGGACCTCTTGGGCCGTCTTGGGGCCATATTGGACCGTCGCGGGGCCGTCTTGGGGGCCTCTTGGGCCGTCTTGGGGCGGTTTTCGGGGCTTCTTGGGCCGTCTAGGAGCGTCGGAAAGCCCAGAAGGCGGATGTGTGAACATTGTACGTTTCACGACGGGAATACGTACATGTCTGCGTCCAGGGACCGTCTTGGGACGCATCTTGGGGGCCTCTCAGGGGCGTGTTGGGCCATCTGGAGGCCATTTCGGGTGTCTTCGATCGCTTTTGGACCGTGTGGGACCATGTTGAGCTCTCTTGGAAGCCACTTGGAGCGCTCTTGGAGCCTCTTGGGGCTCTCTTGGGCCGTCTTCGGCGCCGCTTGAGCCGTCTCAGCGCCTTGTTGGGCTGTCTTGGGGCCCTCTTGGAGGCTTCTTGGGCCGTCTTGGGGCGGTCTTGGGGGCCTCTTGGGCCGTCTGGGAGCGTCGGAAACCCCGAAAGGCGAATTTGTGGAAAAAACGCACGTTTTACGAAGGGAACGGGCTAATTTTTGCGTCTAGAGGCCCTCTTGGGACGCATCTTGGATGCCTCTTGGGGCCTCTTGGGGGCATCTTGGGCCGTCAGGAGGCCATCTTCGGTGTCTTTGATCGCTCTTGGGCTGTCTGGGACCATATTGAGCTCTCTTGGAGGCCACTTGGGCCGCTCCTGGAGCGCTCTTGGGGCCCTTTTCGGGGCCCTGTTGGGCCGTCTTGGACGCTTGTTGGGCCGTCTTGGTGCCCTCTTGGGCTATCTTGGGACCCTCTTGGGGGTTTCTTGGGCCGTCTTGGGGCGGTCTTCGGGGCCTCCTGGGCCGTCTTGGAGCGTCGGAAAGCCCAGAAAACGAATTTGTGAAAATTATACGTTTTACGAAAGGAATGGGCCAATTTTTGCGTCTAGGGACCCTCTTGGGGCGCATCTTGGAGGCCTCTTGGGGCCTCGTGGGGACCTCTTGGGCCGTCTTGGAGGCCTCTAGGCTCGTCTTGGGGCCATCTTGGGCGTGTGGGAGCGCTCGTTTGGCGTCCCGGGGCCCTCGTGGGCCGTCTTGGAGGCCTGTTGGAGCCTTCTGGGCCCGTCTTGATCCCCTTTTGGGCCCAAAAGAGCCCCGTGGCGCGCTCGTGCTGGGCCCGGGGGGGGGGGGTCAAATCTCCGGTTTGGGGTCCCTGGGGGGGGGGATTATGGGGGGGGAACTATCTCACACGCCTAGAGACCCACAAGGGGTCGGCGGATTTTTCGCCCAAAATCCCCCTGTAGGGGGACAGACCCGAACTGATTGTATGTCGGTCCGATTCTGTATCGATTTTGCCTTACTCTTAGCACGTGTGCGGGACCACTGACGATCGAAGTGGGAAACCCGAATAAACAGAACCTCTCAGAGCTCCGCCGGGATTCCTCGGAGCGGCGTCGGGACCCGCTGGCGGCGCCTCCAGTGCCGCCCCTGGCGCGGTCCGCGCGCTGGTGAAAGGGGTGATCCGGCGCCACTCCCAGAAAAACCTGCGTGGACCTCTACAAGTGCATGTTTCGTTGATCGCTTCGATCACTCCGCTGGCCACATTTCGCACCACGGTGGCTGCATGGTGGTGTGCTCGTACCCACGGGGAACGGTAGTGCAGGCAGGACTGTCCTCGAGGAGATCTTTGGAGATGTGGCTCGCACCCTGTCGAAGAGATCCGATCGATTGCCGCAGACGGCGCCAAGGTGGCTCAAGAGAGCTCCAGCAGAGTTTCGAGACGTACCTGGGCTGTGGGTCAGAGTCCTCGTGGATGCTTCTTGGGGTCTTCTTCGGAGGGCTCTCGGGAAGCTCTGAGCTGCAGTGTTGAATCCTCCTCCTGGGGGCCTCTTTGGGCTTCTTGGGGGCCTCCTGAGGTTTCCTGGGGGCTTGTTGGGGGCCTCTTGGGAGCCTCTTTGGGGGCCTCTTGGGGACTCTTAGGGCCTCTTGGGGGGCTTTTTGGGGGCTCAGGTGGCTTCCTGGGCGCCCCTTGGGGCCGAGAGCTCGACCTGTCTTGTCTGCTCGGGCTCCCGCTCGGGACCCCTTCTTGGGGTCATCCAGGGGCCGTTGGACCGGCCGTCTTAGGGCTCTCTTGGGCCCTTCGGGGGCCCTCTTGGCGGCATGTTGTCAGGAGGGAAAGAAACACACAGACACAATTAATCGTCGATCCCCAGGAAAATATGGGAAAATATGGGAAGTGGGGGGGAAGGCAAAAACCCAGAAAATATGGAAAACTATTGGGGATCTTTTTATTTGTGTGTATTTATTTGTGTGTCCTGGGGCCCCTTCATGTTGGGCCACCGTGGACCGATCGTGGGGCCTCTTGGGCCGTCCAGGGCGGTCGGCAGCTCGACCGGACGGTGCAGCCAAAATCGATCGAAAACCCAGGCGAAGTGCGTGATTTTTGGCGTCGTCGTGGCCTCTCTCGGAGTCCTCTTGGGGCCCCGCCCGTAGCTTCTTGGGTGATTCGTGGGCCGTATTGGGACCAACGTGGGCCATCTTCGGAAACTGGAGCCTATACATTACCAGTGGCGGGCCGTCTTCCAATCCCAGGTTTTTTTGAGGACCGTGGACGACGTCGGGGTGTTGTAGTGTATACTTGTTTCCCCGTTTTCCCAGCCAGCATTGGCAAATGTATGCACCAGGGTCCCGTATACACCAGGCTCCGCTTTCTTGCGCAAAGGTCCGTGCAGGGCCGCACAAAACGTCGGTGTATAGAGCGCGGTTCCCTACATCTTGGCCTCTCACCCTCTACCCGTTTACGCATATCACCTTGTGATGGCGTTCTTTCTACTCGCGGGCGCCCTCGAGGGCGCGAAGTTATTCGCGCTTCGCGCTTCGCGGTTCGGCTCCGATTCCTCCTCCTCCTCTTCTCCCCTGGGAGGCGGCGCGAGAGCGCGAAGTTGTTCGCGCTTCGCGCAGCGCGAGGGGCGAAGTGGGGAGCCCTTGCTGCTCCAACCCTGACCCGTTTATTGCTCCTTGCTCTTGGCCCCTCGCCCCGTTACCCTTAAGACTCTTCCTTGAGTCCATCTCCCCGTACACTCTAGGCGATGCTTAAGAAAACCCAAGTTTTCGGCCAGAGTCTCGATTATTCTTAATGTTTGAATGTAACTCCTAAGATTTGAATAGACATTCTGGGTTTTTATTCAAATTCCGAGACTATGAATTTCTTAACCCATGATTTCTAAAGCATTTCGCAGGGTGTATCCCTTACCCTTCGGCAGCGCACCAGTTGTCCATTAAAAGTGGTATCCCTTGCACCTGGCTGTTGTACAGACGCTCGATGCTCGCAAAGCACGCGGGAAACACAGGTTGAGCATTTCCGCGCGCCAAACACCGCTGCCCCATCCTTGGTCTCCCGGGACAGCAGCCGTTCCATGATTACGTAGCGTGGCGTGGCTTCAGAGTTTCACGATCAGAGCGCTGGCTCTTGCCGTTTTCCTGGTGGCTTGTTCGGGTTCTCTTCGGCGCTCCTTGTGCCCTCTCGGGTGCCTCTTGTGGGCTTTTGGGGGGACTTGGAGTTCTCGTGGCCGTCTTGGGCGTCATGGTCGTACGGATCTCTTCTGAAGACGCTCGGTGCGACCTTCTTGGAACGTCTGGGCGAGTCTTGGGGCGCTCTCCCGGCGATGCTGTGCCCTGTGCCTCTTTCCTCTCTACCCCTTCTCGCTTCTGCGTCTCCCACCTGCCGCGCGCCAGGCCGGCGAGATCGACCAGGTTGAGGACGCGGGCGGGCCCACACAGTCGAAATCGATAGTATGGATGGGTAACCTTCTCCAGGGTACCCAGGATAGCCTTGCATCCGTGCCTCTTTGGTCCATCCTTGACAACTTTCGATGTCCCACCGTGCTCGAACAAATTGAACACGGGCTTTCACGGGGCTTGCATCCTTATCGCGCATCCTTATACTGTCAGTTTTGGCTGTATAGGGCCGATGCAATTTGCCGTGGTGCGGTATCAGCCCACTTGTCTGCGCCCTTTCCATCGCACCCCGGATGCCTTGCAGCACGGCGACCCGCCCGCCTCTTCGTTGTGGAGTGCGCGGGCCACCTCGAGGTCGCCTCCAGGGCCTTCTGTGGAGCACCACCGGGGCTTCAAGGGTCCTCCAACCGTCAGGTCACCTCAAGGGTCGTCCACAGTGGGAAGCTCGCAGGAGCTCAACTTCCTTGACAATCCATCCTTCCAAAGCTAAGGAACCCCTTCCATCTCAAGCTTTGTGTTTGAAGGGATCCATACGCTTTTGTCCTTCTGGACGAGAAGAGGAAGGTGTATTGTGTGTATATGTGTACCAATATATTTTGTCATTGCGACACACGGCGCGCACTACACTTCGGCACACTGCACGACAGGCACCCCGCCACATTGTCATTGCACTACACGACACATACTACACTACATTACACTTCGCAACAAGCACTACTTAATTGTCGTTACTGTACCCGACACGAATTGCACTACACGACACTACACGACAAGCGCTCAGCTACATTGCTACTGCAGTGACATCACATTCCATTACACGGCGCGCACCATACTGCAAGACATTACGCGTACTACACAGATGCCGATACATGCTCACGGCTTGTGGGACCCGTAGAATACGTATTAGCCCTCCCGAAAGGAGGAAACGTTTCCCCGCTTGGATTCGGTTTGAAGCCGTTCTGACTCAAATTCGGCCCTCTTCATACTCCGTATGTAGAACAAATTCCGTATGCCAATGCAGAGGCATGCAGCTACGTTCGATGAGTTTTTCAGGCTCGCAGAAGAGAGCAAGCAACTCACACATCATCTTCTGAACGGCGCTGTCCGCGTGATGGATGCAGCAATACTTTCTTTAGCGTTGGGCCGTGGTGGCATAGAGGAGCTAACGCCGCGTACGTTGAGATATGAAACCAAAGGTACTTTGGAAAACTCAGGTGTGACAGCCAATCAGGGTGGCTGCTTCGCAAACGAGCCCCTCGCATGAGTCATACGATCATTCGCTGTTGTGCCGTTTGAGGATGACGATTTGGGTTTGATCGAACCACAGCAGAAACGACGACGTGGTGTTCCTGCTCCAGAATTACCCTTGGCAGCTACGGATGCTTCTTCGGTTTTGGATTCGATTTCTGGTAACGTTGTGCTTTGCGATCGCAGGTGCGATGGTTGGCAACCGTCTGAGCTCGTCCATTCCCTAATAAGGACATCCAGCGATATGGGAGACGTCCGAAAGCAGCCCTGCGATATTCGATGGCAGTTGAAGGTCGCAACAGAAAGAAAAAGGACGTGGGGGAGCAGATGGCAGAGATGGAGCTTGCACATGAATCAGAGCTTGAACACTTGAGGTTCAGAGCCAAAGCGATGAGGAATGTGACGCGAGTTGGTGCTTACTACCTTGCTTTGTAGCGTGAGCACGGATTTTTGGCGAAGGCCGCAGTGGCCATGATGGCCAGCAATGCGGCGCACGGCGCGCTGGAGGACTACGAGGTTGCATACCGCCATGACATGTTCGCAGCGGTAGCTTTGACATGTGGGGCCAAACGTCTTTTCCAACATTTGGCCCTATCGATGCTTTTTCTGGGTTGCATCATGTTGTGGAAGCTGGGCGTGGAGAACAAATCATCCACTTGAAGTGCGATGCTACGCTCGACAAGATATGTGGTGGTGATAATATGTATGCCGCGTTCGTGGAAACAACAGCGTTTTAGGTAGTAGAGTTCTCGATGGTGGTGCCGATGTGGAAAATGAGCCTTTTTGCTGTGATCTGCAACTTGTCTTGTTCGGAACGGGGGTCGAGGCGTACAGCCTGATGATCGCAGACCATTCGAGCGTGGGGGTGCCGACGTGGGGGGACTGCTACACCGGCGCGACGCCCAAGGATTGCATGCAACTTACACTTTCGGATTGGACAGAGGTGGCGAGAATCAGGCATCCACGAAGATGGTAGCAAAAGTCAGCAGGGGCTGCCTGTTGGCGTCGCGGGCAGTTGCGTTGTGCCTCTGTCGCAGTCGATGCGTTTGTGTTGCGAAGTATCAACCTCACTGGTGCGTGAAAATCGGGTTGTAATTGCAAGGGGGTGGAGAACAAAGCCAGTCCGCACATTCTTTACTGGCGCGTCTGCGCTTCAAATGTTTGGCGCTCAGCTGGGAACCGTGAGCGGATCGACAGAGCTGCGTTTGACAACAAATTCACAGCAGTGGAACGGGAGTGCATATTCAAAATGCTTGGGGAGTGCTTGAAGGGTAGATGGGAGTCGCTGTGCGGGGTGCTCGTGTCTATCCTTGTCGCAGTCGTAGTCTTGAGGGTCGTTTTTTCATGTCTCTGGGGCAATCTCGGCGACAGTCAGGAGGAGGTGACATCCGGGAGGTGCGACGACGACGACGTCGTGCAAATCAGGGCCACAGCTAGAACCAGCATGAGGCGAGCGTGCGCGTTGATCGGTTGCGACTTCTTCGTCGCCGTGATGATCGCTGCAAAAGCTTCCCTACAACCGCTCATGCCATTGTTTATCTGGGGCCAACGGCAAGTCGAGCTTCGCAGCGACATGGGGGATGCAAGTCGAAAGGGAGGTGGGCCTTATCTTGGCGAGGCTTCTCTATCGCAACTTGTACCTGTTGCTGCGGGGAAGTCTTGCGGATGTGATGCGTTCCGATTCATGCGCGACGATGCCATCGGGCGTGCGGACGCGCGGGGCCAGATATCGGAATGTGTTCCAGAACATCTTGGACCAGAGGCTGTTCTACTCGTCGCAAATGTTTGATTGGGCATATTATGTAGCTGCGAGTACAGGACGACGGGCAACTACTCGTCCTGGCACACACATAGGTCTTGAAGATTGCTGAGGTGCTGCCCCAGGTCGGGTCAAGGGTGAAGTGAAACGCAAGTCGGTTTCCTTATTTAATCCTCCCTCGTCCTCCTCACAAGTACACGCGCGTGTAAACGTCGTATGTGTAACTTTATTTCACCCATTACTCCATATCCGATCTTGTGAATTTCGTCCACGGTCGTCGTCTTGACTGGGCATCCCCTGGTAGTTTTGTGCCGCGGTGGAGCCTCGCGCTCTTTCTTTTCAGTTGGCGGCCGCTTTCCACTGTGCCCTCCTCCCTCTCTACCCCCTTCCTCCTTCTGCTCCCTGCTGCCATCTAATGCTGCTGCTTCTCATCCTTCTTATTTGCCTCTTGGTCTCAATCTGCCTCCTCGCCCTCCTCCCGTCGCCTCCTTGCCCCCCGAAGGTGGCCGGCGATGCTCGCAGAGACGTGGCGCGGCCATTGTTGGCGGCGTCCGCGGGCGAATCCACGGCGGCTGATGGCTACTTCCCGCGGGCGCTCAGGTGGCGGTTCAAGAGTGAGTTCGAGGGTGCGTCGCGGAGGGGGGGGGGCGGGGGCGGCGCGGGGGCGGTCGGTGCGACGCGGCGCTGCGTGGAACTGTCGCTCTCCATCGCGGCAAATTCGACTCCCGGACGCAGGGCCCCGGGAGCAGGAATTCCGAGCTGCGGGGCATCTTCGCCAGAGCTCCCGCGATGGGGCGGGCGCTTGCGAGCGCGAGGATGTCCGCGTGCTTCGGCGAGGGGATATCAGCTCGAGATTGCGATCGGGAGCGCGACGCCGTCGTGGAGCACGTGAAGTCTTCCGAGCACATGAACCAGTTCCGCCACATCGAAGCGATGCCGCCCATAGCGACCGCGCCCCCAGTTCCAGACCACGGCGTGGACCTGGGAGAGACTCAGGAACCCTCTTGAGCACCGCTCTCGCGCCCTGCTGCCGCTAGATATGCAAGGGCGGGAAACGCGTCCTCCCTCTCCTTTCCCCCGCCATATGATATAACGTAATAGTATAGAGTGCGATGCCGGAGAAAAAGCCCCAATCCTAAACTTTTTAGGGCTATAGGGCTATGGGGCTACAGGGCTATGGGGTTATAAGGCTCTGGGGCTATAGGGCTGGGGTGCTATGGGGCTATATGGCTACAGGGCTATGGGGCTCTTGGGCTATGGGGCTCTCAGGCTGTGGGACGACGGGGCAATGGGGCTATAGGGCTCCAGGGCTATAGGGATATAGGCTATTGGGCTAGTAGGGCTACAGGGCTATGGGGCTATGGGGCTATAGGGCAATAGGGCCATAGGGTTATAGGGCTATAAGACTATAGTGCTCTAAGGATATATGGCCATGGGGCTCCCGGGCGGCTGGGCACTTGGGCGCGCCGCCGAAACCGGCGCCGCATCTCACCTATCCGCTAGGGCCCCCAAAAGTGGCGAGCTGTGCTTTGGGAATAATAGAATGACATATTTCTGCACCATGACATATAATATGAGACAATTTAACGGAGTGTAGTATGATACTATGTAGCTTGTCGCGCTGCAACGCAAAGCAGCTCGGCACGCGCCAGCGCGCTGATATAATATGGGCCTCGGCCAGTCCGACCCCCCCCCCCCCCCCGCAAGTGCAAAGAGTCAGCCGAGAAGGGCGAGTTCTTTGATGCAGCGCCCGACTGGGCCCACTTCGCAAGTGCGTTTGCAGTTGAGTGCCAGATGGCGGGGCGCGCGCGCGAGCTCGCGTGGATCTATTCGCGACCGACGCACCCAAGTGGCCTCCAGGATATGATCAGGCGCGACGTCGCAGCCGGGGCCCTGGCGCCAATGGCGCTGACAATGACGGCGTATCTATTGTCATATTCAAGGTCAAGTATGTCCTGGAGGTCATGTAATATGGACGACCCGGGCATCCGCGAGCACGCGGCGAAGCTGCCTG